GCACCGCACACCGCACCGCTCTACCCGGGCGCGCCGCAGCCGCCGCTGTCGCCGCCCGCCGCCGCGCCCGCGCCTCCACCCTCATAGGACTACGCCTCCCACAGGCTGTACTCCCCCGACTCCACTTGTACAGACCACTAGATACACCTTGTGCACTAACCACGAGTAAGTTTCAACATTCTCTATTTATCTATTTGCCACTTTTGATCTTGCCATTATCAAGGTTTTGTCATATGAAATAGGTAAAAATTTTTTGGCTTACAGCAGACCATTGTTTGACAAAAAATAAAGTATAATAGTTTGTAGAAGAAATATATCTTATGGAAATATAAAAAAGAAATACATATTATGTTACATATTTTTGCTTAGAATCAAATCCAGCACAAAGTCCTGTATTTCAATATAAGTTAGTGTTGCATCGTGTTAGCTGTTAGCTGTTACAAGTAAGTTACAAGATGTGGTACATATTTATAGTTAATGTACTTGCATCCATTTCATATATAAGTATTATATTTAATTGTCTTTTGATCTCATTAACCACCGAAAGCACTAAAATAAAGATTTGGTCTGTTTAAACTGATGGAAAGTATGGCCAGGCTGGAACTGCCGAGACTAGGTATAGTGTTTTATATATTAAATTCAAAATCTATATAACCTTGCTTAACACATTAAAAATAGATATTAGAAAATTTGCCACTTGACTAGCATCTCAAAATATATTTTTATAGACTATATTTGTGTGCTTTTTTTTGTGACAAAAATTTGTGATATTTTTTGACTGCTTTGGCTTGTAGTGTTATATTAATATTTAGTGTAATTACCTTGTACTTGAGTGTTTATGTAAATTAATATAATTTCCTTAGATATTGTTAGTAAATTTTAAATATGTACGCAGTATATTCCTATTTGGAGAAAAGTACTTTATTGCTTTTATGTCAAAAAAAAGGGAAAATGAAACTTAAAATGTTTAGAAAAAAATTGTGACAAAATGATTTGTCATTTTACTCATAACGACAAAATGCTTTTAATATTAAAATGGATATATTTGAATAGTTATCTAAGTTAGTACAATTTGTTTATGAACATTTATAATAGCTCAATATATCCTTCCATTAAATTGGCCGCTGTGTTCAAATTAGCTTTTCTATAAATATGAATTCCAATATTTTAACATTCACACTAGTAAATAGCAAGGTAATGTTGAGAATTATGTATGTATTTGTAAACACATATAAATGTGACATACTTGTAATTGTGGTACTGAACAGTTTGTTCAAGTTTTCCACAGTATATTTAAAGTACTGTATACTTGATATGACAATATTTAAATAAACTTTATGAGTAGCGTTGTGTCAAGCGGTGGCCGTGTGGATTATTTGGTAGGAGCATTCCGTAGCTAGTCAATCTGCATTATTATAGATAATTACTTATTCAAATAACATTATGTAGTACTCGTTAAGTATTAAACTTTTTATTTAAAAAAAATATTTATTATAATGGATTTGCATAAGATTGTTTTATTGTATTTGGTGTTGAGCTGAATTATATTTCACAAAATGAAATAAAATTGTATAAACACTATAATATACTGACTTTATGTAACTGTAATATAATATTAAATATATACATAAAAATGATTTTATTTATTATACAGCATAACAATCACAACAAAAGACATTGCCTTCACTAGCAACATTGATTGGCTGGCAGTACTGACATCCTATCTGCATCATGCCATATTTGTCTCCCTGTGACTCACACTTGCCACAACTTCTTGGTCTTGTCTCACAGTAAGCACTAGGCTTTCACAACTTCCTTGTTCGCCTCCTCATTATGCACTTCTTCTGCCTCTGCTTTGAACTTCTCCTGCAAGAGATATTTTCTTGAAACTGTCATGTTTTTCTATTATATTAGTTTTCAAGATGTTTGTTAAAGATAATCAAATTTTCTTTTTCAATAAGATCTACAACGAAAATAGACAACATTTTTTAAATAATAATTTACCAGATCATATATAACTTTGACAACAAGTGAACAGCTCGGACATGTCGCTACTTCCTCCCCAGCCATGAGCTCCTCCTGAAACATAGAAAACGTGTTGAAACACACACAATAACAAAAACGATTAAAGTATTTGAAAACACTTTGTTTACTATTTATCATAAGCACTCAACATTTCAATATCCCGGCCCAATATCAATATTCGGAGCCAGAAACCAGAATTTAGTATACCAACACAATACGTAAATATACATAAAAGTAATAAAATTTCCTCTAACCTTACTAATTTGAAATCTGTCGCCGCATGGACAAGGATAGTAGTACATTTCCTCCTCTTCGTCATAATCGAAGTCTTCAATTTCAATTTCGTCATGGAATATCGTCATCCTTTAATAATTATCACACTGTTTTACAAGAATATTCGTCAACATTGCAAAAATCTAGAAAAACGCGCGGATTTTCCTGTTTTCCAATGCACAGTGTACAGCGAGTGACACATTTTATTGACATTGACAATTTCAATTTGACATTACCTGATAATAGTAGGGTTACCCGATGCAATTTTTTCATAAAAAGTTTTCTTTATTGATTCTATTTCTGAGAATGTAATAAAAAATATTTTTATAATAGATGAATAACTTCTATGAAGCCGCCTGAATTTCTAAAGAAAAATTAAATTTAATTGATCATAAAAAGAGAATAGACGTTGCTCCTATTTAATTTACAGTATTTTTCCTTCAAGTTGGTTGCCCAAGAGACGAGAGTAATTTTAAAACTAAATAAAAGCTTTGCAAATTTGCATAAGCTTGTATTATACAAAATTAAAAAATATTTATAAGCTCTTAAGTTGAATCGAATAAAGTTTTAAAGAAATTTATCGATACATGGTAACATTAAAGGAGCACGTCACACACGTCATTAATTTCATTTCACATCATATCCAATCCATATCTCAAGTGTATAATGATCGCGGTGGTCTCACTAATTTTTTCATACGTTTCTATTTAAAGTAGTGAAGTGAGTGAAATAGTGCCTACACGATCATATTGACAATTAGATAGTTAACATAAATAGCAAAAATGTTTAGCTGGCTCAAGAAGGAGGGAGAAAAGTCTGAAAGTATCGACAATGTCGTCGAAGGGCTTAAAAGAATTTATAAGACCAAACTCCTGCCCCTCGAGCTGCATTATCAGTTTCACGACTTTCATTCGCCGCAGTTGGAGGAGCCCGACTTCGATGCCAAACCTATGATACTTTTGGTAGGACAATATTCGACCGGTAAAACGACCTTCATCAAATATCTCCTAGAAAGAGATTTTCCCGGGATCCGAATCGGTCCGGAGCCCACGACCGATCGTTTTATTGCAGTAATGTATGACGAAAAAGAAGGCGTAATACCAGGTAACGCGCTCGTTGTCGACCCAAAGAAACAGTTCCGCCCTCTTAGTAAGTTCGGCAACGCCTTCCTAAATAGGTTCCAATGCTCAACTGTTGTGTCCCCCGTACTCCGCGGTATCTCCATAGTGGATACCCCTGGCATTCTCTCAGGAGAGAAGCAGCGCGTCGACAGAGGCTACGACTTCACAGGGGTGCTGGAATGGTTCGCCGAGCGAGTCGATCGCATCATATTGTTGTTTGACGCTCACAAACTCGACATTTCTGATGAGTTCAGACGAAGTATCGAAGCTTTAAGAGGTCACGATGACAAAATTCGTATAGTATTAAACAAAGCTGACATGATTGATCACCAGCAGCTCATGCGGGTGTACGGCGCGCTCATGTGGTCGCTGGGCAAGGTGCTTCAGACGCCCGAGGTGGCTCGCGTCTATATCGGCTCATTCTGGGATCAGCCGCTGCGATATGATGTCAACAGACGTCTTTTTGAGGATGAAGAGCAGGATCTCTTTAGAGATATGCAGTCACTTCCACGAAATGCTGCGTTACGTAAATTAAACGATTTGATAAAAAGGGCGCGTCTTGCCAAAGTTCATGCATACATTGTAAGCGAGTTGAGGAAAGAGATGCCTTCAATGTTTGGTAAGGATGGAAAGAAAAAAGAATTAATCAAAAACCTCGGTCAAGTATATGACCGTATCCAAAGGGAACAACAGATATCACCTGGTGATTTCCCTGACATTAAGAAGATGCAAGAAACTCTTGCTAATCATGATTTCACCAAGTTCCATCCGCTGAAACCCAAGTTGCTTGAAGTAGTGGACCACATGCTGGCAACAGACATCGCCAGGCTTATGGATATGATCCCGCAAGAAGATGTCAATGTAGTCACCGAGCCTCTCATCAAGGGTGAGTACTTAGATCATTTCTTCACTTTCAAACATATTATCATTTATAAACACATTGTCAAAACTGCTTCTGTTGTAAATTTTACTATTATATTTTTCCTGTAATTTTATTGACGCGTAAATAACAACAAAAGTCCAACAATAGATATAACCCATGTAATTTGTTAAGTGTCCTAATAGGAAAACAATTTTTTAAATTGGTCCAGTACTATTGAATTTGTTACATATAAAAATACAGATCTTTCCTTATTTAATATTAGTATAGATTGCAACCCAAATATTAAAATTTATTTTGTTTGTTTTAAACAGCTTATGTTTATTTCAACTTCTGCTTCTCTTTATAATTTGTCATAATGTCAGTACTAAATTTATTGAATTGCTAACATTTTCATTATAATTTGTGCTACTGGAGTGAGATATTGCCACTCCTTTTCAATAAAAACTTCAAAGTACATTTAATATGTAATACTCTAAAGCATATTTGACATTGTGGCCAAACTCACATTGTACACTTTGGTATATGTTATGAGTTGATAATGTTAAGAAGTTATAGCGCTATCAGTAGATATTGACCTGAATAAATGTACTTATCAGATACCGTGCTCGGAATATGTTAGCTGTTACTATTAGCGCCTCTATTAGCGTAAAGCATTCTTTCTGCGCTGACTTCATACATGTTTTATCAGTTCCTAATAAGGATGGGTATATTTGCTTTATATGTTTCCTTACTGTTGTATTTCACGATGATAGTGAAATAACTTTATATTGGTGTCATAATGTGGGACTTAATTCATCTATGTTACATGTATGACTCATTGTGTACTCGGGACACAGATATATTTAGTTTGCTGATTGGATGATATTATATAAATGTACATTTTGCCATTTTTATACACATCTATTTTGTTATAAGTTATTCATGCTAATATCTTTGCTTATATTATTATATAAAGGGAAAGAATTTGATTGATGTTTGAATTGAATAGGATCTGAAACTATTGAAATTATTACAAAAATTATTTTCCAGTTGTGAAGCGACATTATCACCGGATAACATAGGATATATTTATTACTGGATGGTTTTTATTCCGCGGTTACGAAATCGTGGGCAACTGCTACTTTATAATATTACGATTTGTTAACAAAATAATTAAAAATTTTAACTTGGTAAAAATTATTTCAGAAATGTATTTTATAGGCAACCTTGTTAAAGTTAAAAGCTCGAAATCGTCATACACTAATTATATCACGTGTCACGCCCTTACATTAATTAATATAATTTGTGATTCATATCATTTGCGGCTTGACCTTTTGTCTTCATATCATGTTTATTATTTATTTAAAAACCAAATAGATTGATATCATAATTAGGCTAATATATGATAAGAGATGATACAATAATATATGTGGTTACAAAAATTTAATAAATATGCGAAGTATTTACAACTTGAAATGACGTGCCGTTATGTCTGCTCAATGAGCAGTAAGTTCGTAATGTCCGGAGCAGATTCCGGTGCGATGGCGAGCGCTAATGACACGCGCAGCTCACGTCGCAACTGTAACTAACGAACGACGTGGGCTGAGCCTCCGCATCCGGACCACCTCTTTGCTGATTGCTCTCAGTGTTGTTGTTCTTGACGCCCATGATGGCGTATAAACCGATTCCCCTTACTTAGTCCCGATGCAGTGATGTCTCCTGGCTGGCTGTATCATAATGAAACTCGTAACACTCGCTTGTTAAGTTAAAGTTGAATGTCCTTGATCTTGTGTCTACTTTCCGATACCTATAAATCTAGCTTAGCAACGCACACGTGCACATGTGTTTTATTTGCATCGTTACTTCATGTAAATATTGAAGTACATAATATTATCTTTCTTCCCTTTTCCTAAAATTTGGTTGTGAAATTAAGAAACTATCTTTGTTTTATATTTCCGTTAAACATAATGATAGAACTGAAAACCCGGTAACAGTAAACGCGCCGTGACTATTCCTTATTGTACAATGTGGAACAATATATGGGACAATTAAAAGTAACAACAGCGCGGGAGGAAGCGACGCAAGTGCGGGAGGGGGGGGGGGGCAGTGCGGGCGAAAGTTGTGATTGTGTCAGTACAGTCAGTTAAAATTAGTTTGGTCGATTTAACAGTAATCATTAGTGTTTATCAACTGATGAACCTTTTATATTGATATCTATCATTATATCATAATACTATTTGTATTATAAAATAAAAAGTTATTCTGCCCTTGACATACGTTAATGCAATACGTGTAGCCGGATGTAAAATTTTGTCTAGTGAAATTGATATTATCGAGACATTTGGGTGTTCGGTTAGCGGGCCGCGCTCGCGCCAAGCCGTTCCGCACCACGCCACAACGAGGACGACGACGTTGGTAGCTACAACTGCTGTTAGTTCTCCGTAATGTTTATCATCTTTTTTAAACAGGATCGTATCAACAAGTAAAAATTATTGCATGTATTTAAGAGTCATTCTACTTGAATCTCTTCGAAATGGATAGTAATGGTACGCTACTCGATTCTGTACAATCATGGACCCTAGGATTCAATGTCACCAACATTTGTTATTCTATTCTTATCGGCATAGCAAGCATCACGTCAGCGGGACGAGAGCTGTCAACGGCTGTAATAACTGGGCTTGAGCCGGAACATCTCGTTTGTTGTTCGTCGGGAAGTAATGTCACGAGACATCAGGCGCGCAATGTCTCGCACACGCAGAGGATTCGCTTTGATAATTTTCCATAGACACAGGTACATCATTTAACTTTATACCCTGCGCGTGAAGTCGTAAATCTCTGCGAACATTCGCGACGCCGCGGAGTTGCTTCATGTTTTTATAAATATTACGTTAAATATGAAAATATCAAGTAATTAATATCGGTTTGCAACCGCCGCTGTCGGGCAGATTCCGTGCTATTATATATGTGATTTCGTATCATATCCCATAACATGACCGCCGAGCTTGGTGTTGAGTGATGACGTCATTTGGAGTGTGGTCAAATTTGCACATTTTTATAAATGTAATATTGGATTAAAGTGTCTTCATGTTATCGCTGGTGCATCATCAGTTAACAATCTTCTTTCCGAAGAAAGTAAATAATACATGTGTTTTATAATTGTTTACCTCGGACTTCCTTTGTTCTGCTGGCCTTTATTCTTTTTGTGATTCATGTTGTCAAATACCTTTTCGATTTACGTGGCAAATTAACATGACTACAAATAGATGGACATTATCTTGTGACCCTGCCTGGTTAGTTAGTTAATTGTAAACAATATTAGTATGAGCTCACCATTTACCACAGCTTATATATCTTTTACGACATGCATAACGCCGAATTCATTTCATCATAGTCTACAACATTAATTTCATTACCTCAATGTTACTGCATAAGAAAAGCAATCTTATGCCCAATATAGATTATGGACACATTGGCAATCAATATAAGACTGAAGAGAATTATTGATAAATTAATTATGGTATACAATACTTATGTATGTACGGTCGTAAAAGCTACGCTACAGTCGCAGTGTGCGCTGCTCCGCCTCACTTGATGACACTATTGTGTTTGCCGCACGCCGTGCAACGACACGCCACGTCACGTCACGCCGCGCCACGGCACGACACGGCATGGCTCAGCATTATGTAACGCGCCGTAAGCTGTAGCGACCGAGATCACATCACTACATGCTAAGTGATCCGTGCAACTTCCTCTAATTTACATATTTCATACCAACAGAATCAACGCACGTACTTGTATATAGAATTTCCGCGATGTCTGTAGCGAAGGCAATATACGTGCGGCCATCTTACTTAAGACTTTTTTATACATAAGAAGCTTGCCTAAGATACTTGTATTTCGTCTAATAGTATAATGTACCTGTTTATTTTCGATTAACATGCACATAAGTGGGAAATGTAGACAGTAGATAAAAAAGGTGTTGGCAATAGGGGCGCGGTGGCGGCACATGAGTCAGTGGTGATGGTGAGGTAAGTGCGTGATAAGGCGACGAGTGCTGCGGGCGCCCGTCTGCCCCAGCGCTTACCCGACCTGCACGACGCTCTTCACTATACAGGCGCCGTGGCATTTATGAACGTTTATTTGTTAAATTAGTAAAGTAGTAAATTAATATGTGATCACTAGCATGTAAAATTAAATGTTAAAAAAGCGAGGTGTTGTTTTTAATGAACCGAATAAGGGTTGCCTGAAGGACATTGTACAGATTAATAAAGTTAGCGCCATAAAATAGTTCTAATTTGTCTATCAGACGACGGAAATCGACCGGGATAATAAATTGTTACACAATGGACTTATCTTTCTAACTCGAGCGACTACGAAAAGTTATTGATGTATGCGGGCCCCTTCTTTGAACACTAAAGTGATTAAATATCTCTTATGTGCGCCGTTACATTACGTTTGACAAACTATAGTAAAAGTTTTTAATGACCACTAAAGATATTTCAGGCCACTTGCGATTCACCATAAATTTTTGTGTCGAATTGTAATGTTTTAGTGTCGCCCTATCACCGGCCGGCTATCGGCGGCATATCTCTTGCGCATTGACTTTGATAATACACGTACTCCGTGCCCCCGTATTGTACTTCGCTTTATTATAAATTGATATTTGATTTATCCACTGCAGGTATTGAATCATTTTGTAATTGTTGTGTCAGCAACACAAAGTACTACCACTAGCCATTAATTGATGACGATGATTAATTTGAGGCGCGGACTGGTGTGTGTATCGCGCCTGTTCCGGCCTCTCTTGTGTATTATGTATCCTACTACAGTCGAAGCTGGAGCCAGGCGCTAAACTAATTAGTTACCTCTCTATATGGAATGCACGCATTTTCAATCTTTATTAATTTAAGAGAAGAGCAAGTGTGAATTAATACTCTGACTTTGGATTTTTTTAAATAGTCAAACAATTTTTTGTTGAACTTTCGGTCATGTGCAAGGTCATTACGCAATCAATGACAGTAATATTATAAACAGTTTATTAGTGTGTAGTTTACTACATTTGTAACTGGACTATCCTGAATAACAAGGAAATTGATTTACCACTGTTCACATCTTTTGTACTAGGCTCGGAAAATGTAATTTTAACTGATGTACTGTTTGATGCAAACATTATTTTTATCATTTATTTTTTTTACATACAATATGTAGATCAGGATGAAGTTCTGTCCACAACTATATTGATTTTTCAGTACATGTGTAGTGTCGTTGTCTTTACATGATTTTAACTTCATGACGTCAAGTAAGTCCCTATTGCTAATTGTGACGAGTGCGCTACTAATGCGGATGACAGTCATATCCATTCCCGTTGAAGTCTCCAGCGTGCTTAATAACTATTGTGGACCACCTAAGTCACATTGTTGTAACCATAAAACATCAACATTAAACCAATAATATGTGATCGCGTGCGTGCGCAATAGAAATTAATTTGGTCGCGAGCGGAGCCGGCGCGTGTCGCACATATCAAGGTTTAGAAACCTAAACCGTATACCATGTTGTCTAAACGCTTTATGGTATGGTCCGTGTACAAAAAAATAATATTCTGATCCTTGAAGTCATTGAATTTTATATTTAAATATTATTTATCTATTTTTATGTAAAAGATGCTGATTACGACATAAAACAGACAATAAATCCATCGAAGATAATAATATTCTGCGATATAGATCAGCTTAATAGGAAACTTTGACTTTACGTTGAACCGGTCCCGATGTCCCGACATTGTCGCCGCGACGCCCTTCCGATTTCACAAATATGAATGAACCGGGCGTGTCATAACGTATGAATGATAGACGGCCTTGACGACGCGCCATCTATCTGAAGCGCGTCAAGTTTGCGTTAGCGATGGATATAGCTCAATAGAGCAGTCTGGCTCGTCCTGGGACGGGGTGCAATGCTAGCAATTCGGTGCCGGTCCGATGCCGCTGCGCGCTGACGTCACGGCGGACGCGATACAATGCCCGCAGGCACGCTCAGGTCGCGCCGCTATTGTGCTTGTACGGCAGTTCATTCATTGTTTATCTGGCGAGCCGGGTCATCTCGGCCCTTCGATGTCGCTTTATTCACAATCAACGTGTGAAAGACCCGATGTTATGCGTACATTATGTCAATTGTTTTCTGTGGACTATGGATATACGGTTACACAGAGCTGTACTTGCTACGCCTAGAAATCAAAAGGTTATTCTTAATATAATAAAATAAGTTAACAAGTTATTTTGATGACGCTGGTAGTAAAAATGCAAATATACTATTGATAGCTATAGAACGTCGGTCGAGACAGTGTGAACGTTGTGAGCTACTTTTATTTAAGATTGTGCTCATATTCATCTATTTGTTAAGGGCCACTGATGTCAGTAGTCCCGCATCAAAATTGATATGAATTAAATAGACACGTTTGTGATGAACGCGCCCACATTGCTAGTCTTCTTGCTGCGTACACGGCCAGTGGTTTAGGAGGTGTTTGTGGGGTGCCACGAAGCACACTTTCCCAATTAGAGCCGGTGACCGAGGAATAATCGTTCGCCAACTGAATTTTAATTCTGGGAAATGTGAGGCGAACGGGGAAAGTGCGGCGCTGAGTCAGGCCCGACACCGCGCCAGCGACGCTAGCGCCGCCAGTGCTGTTGGCCATTTTTGCCAAACTTTAAATGAAATTAAAATCAGCGATAAGTGATACGCGGTCGGTTTATTTATCAGTCAAGATACGTAACAGAAATCCGTCCCATGTTACCAGCTGTATGTATGCACAAATGTGCTACATTATCGTACTCCGATGTAAAGTGTGCACTTGGCTTGGAAAAATTATTTTAATATACGACATGTTGTAGTTATTAGCACAATATGTCATAACTCGTAACACTTCATTGCTTTGCACTCTGTCGTGCGTTATGATAATATAGTAGAGGGCTAGAGGCTAATGCGAGTGTTGTCCTTCTGCTATGCTCCTCCGCAGCGCTCATTACCGAGTCTCGCGCCCCTCTGCCGCCCCCGCCACACACGCCCCGATTCACAGTCAAACTGTGAGCCCGTGACACACTGGTGGCACATAAAATTTATGTTGTTTATAATAATAGCTAATGTTCTCTCGATAAGGTCGCGACGTGCGGCATTGTTTACTAAACAAACAGTGTTAGCACCCGTGCACTAATCTGAACCATTGCTTTGCAAATCATTTTGTACCTATTTATGACAAATGCACTATAACTAATAAAGGCTCTGGCCATCTAGTCAGAAAGGAATGGGTGTCATAGCACCGCACATATAAAATGTAACGTACTGATTTCTTTATCAGACACATTTAATGTCATACCGTAATAAAACGTCCGCTGCATGCGCGCGTCTGACCCGAATCGTTTACAAACTGTTCACCCACCCACATATTATCAATTGTATTCAAATTTTACACAAACACCCGAATTAGGTTCAATTTTACTATACGCTTATGGCGTCTACTTGCAAAAAAACTAACGATTAATCGTATAAAGTAATATTATAAGTCACTGCTAAAAATGTAGCTATTTAACTTTGGTCGGTTAATAAAATGACGGCAACAGATATGGATGTGTGAAGTTGATGTTATCATTTAATTAAATCTTATCAGTTTGTCAGAACGTGACGTTGTTTCTTTAATAATTTTTATATTATTCATTATTAGTGCGACCTACACATATTAGCGTCGCAAAGAAATGCAATACTATTATAGTAAATGTGTAGCGCGTTTGTCTGTGTGTGTCAGAGTGTCTCAGGTTCGCTATGCAGTGCGTGCGGCGCGTGTGCATCACGGTCCTCCTCTAGGAAGCATTGTAACAAACTATTTAGATTTACGCATAGATATGGTAGAATGATTTAGAAAGCACATCCTCGTAGCTGCTCTGCTCAATCAAACACATCGATGTAAAAGTTTCTTTACTGTATCTGAAAGATTTTTTCATAGATTAAATTATAATTATTTTATTCACTTCCTATTAATAGCTTATAATTTTTCACTGGTAATAGATCCATAAGATCAATGTGGTGTTGTTGTGCGTTGGCGTGTCATTGACATGTGAGTCGTCTGCGATAATTAGCTGAAATTGTAACACATATTTATTAGCAACACATTAGTGACATGTGCACAACTGCACACTGTCCACAAGATGTACCTATTTATGTATATATGACAGATATGGAAACAGTCGCCCGCAAGTATATACAAGCAGCCGAGATGAAATGTAACTGGCATGACTTTGAGTATAACAAGTGATTTACTTTCAGGGGTCTCGCTCTCGGGCCCGGGTGCATGGAGCTATGGAAGTAAGCAGCAATGTACTAACAGCACAGCTTGTCGAGTCGCAGCACGCAACACCATTGCGCCGCACAGTGCAGCGCTGTGCCTCTTTCCCCTGACTTCATACTAATGCGCTTTAATTGTGCCAAAGGTTGCTACAGTGGGCGCGCTATGTTTTGTGTCGCAGGAGGTCATTTTGTTGCAGTCAATGTGTCCCCTCCGTCACCGTCCTGACTAGTGTGACTGGTACTTGTCATTATTGCGGTGTTAACAGAAGCTTACAGGTCATTCGAAGTATATCTCATTGCCGAAAATTTCATTAGAGTATAGCAGCTGTCATGTCGCTATTCAGGGTTTGGGGAGTGGGAGATGGTGGTTGTATCGTTGTGTGCTTTACGTATGGGCTAAGCTAAGTTGGTTTTTTAATGTGTAATTTAACTAAAATTACTGGGATATACCGTTTTCTTTAACATTTAAGAGTCGAAGGGAGCCATGATTTAAAAATGATCATCGGGAAGACGACGCGACGTAATTCAGGAGAATGTGAAAATTAGTTATGCAATAGTAGGAAGCAAAATAATTAGTAGTCTCCATTTGTGGTTGTAACATCACAGCGCTGCGGGGAGGACTGGCTGACGATGAGCGACCATGCATGCTGCTAGGAAACGGACATACGGTGATTTAAGCGGCGGCGACAGCGAAAATGCACGACAAGTTGTTACACAAGCCTCCGCACTTTCCAGTTCAAAGCCGTTACATTACTGCGTGATTACAAGTGACATGTTGAGGCGGGACATAACTACCCAATGTGTACTTACTCTTGGCTGGTTTAATTTATAATTTTGTGATATGGGACATACGGGTCTTATTACTCGAGAAATTGGGGGTCCTTGAGTTTCCCTTTATTTGCAACTGCCCTATGACGTTATCTTCGACAATAAGTAAGGTTTCTTTGTTATTCTGTTGCAGCATAACTGTCAATAGCTATAATATATAGCTGGATGACTCATGCATTATAATATTTTCCTCGCTTTGAATAATCGTGTGGCATTCTTTTCATTATTGCCCCATCTAGGACACAATAGACAAAGCGAGGCGCTATCAGTGGGCAAAGGCAGGTATATGAAGTCCTCTCTGGTTACTCGTAGTCACCACACCCGTCACTTGTACATCATTGTACATCATTGTTTGACAATACTTGTACACTGATCGTTTATAGGAATCCTTCAAGTAATAGTTAATTTACAATTTACCTTGTGTGAGATAATTCGGTCTCACTGATTGACTCCGGGACAAGAGCACAATAATTGTTACGTCGACCCTGACATTTACATAATTTTATTATTTATCTTATCAAAACGTGTAATAATGTCGCAAGAACTAAAGTGGGATATATTTTTTGTCGTTTTCGTTTTAAATCATTATTGTATGCCCTTAACCTCGACCGTGGCGGTGTAACGCATCGTCGCCGTCTAGTTTTTACATCTGAATCGTGCCACTGCATCAGATCGCAAGGTTTCCTTCAGATAATTAGTAACGCGCACCTACATCCTACATCCCTTTCTCGTATCAACTCAAAGATTCTTTTGTAGGTTTAACGGATTTATTCTTAGTTTCTAGAGGGCAGTATCTGTATTACTATCCGTGCGTATAGTGTCTCCGTAGAATTTTGGTGTAATAGGTATCCTGTGGTATCCGACTAACGAGTTGGGTCGTGGGCGGCTGCGGCGCGTCTTCC